AGTTTAACGTACAATATTAAACTGAGTATTGCACCAAGAGTTTATAAAATTTTCTCTTAACTATAGACTTTTTTAAAATAAAAGGAAGTTTTCGCAAATGAAACGTCCTTTATAAAAGAATTGGAAATTTAAAACGCCTGTATATATTTTATGAAACATTCATCCACCTGTGTGACAAACCTGTTTCAACAAAACTAATTAACTCAGTTTGTGTTTGTTATTTCTCCTAGTTGGCTTTCTAATGACTGGAATTATGGGATACGGAATCCTAATCGTATTTTTCAACTTGCATTTAATTTCTTTCTACCTTCACAGCACGTAGTTAAAAACGCTCTTGCATATCAATTTAATTTATGAGGTATTCCAAATGTAGTTAGGTTCTGTTCAAAGATTAAAACTAATTAAAACTTTGTCTGCTAATACCCAATAACAGTTAACCATTGACTTCTCCTGTCACAAGGTAAATTAAAAATATGCTTTATCATGTCAAGTCGCTAAGTTTCCTATGCGATAAATGGTTAAGAACACGATAAGAATACATACTTTTAATAGTTAACGAGATATTTTCAGCTGTATTTGATATTTAGCAATTCTTGAATAGATACTAGACAATAGCGGTGACAAAGACGCATTAAACAACTAAACAAACTGCAAGAACTCGCCACCTGGAAAGAATAAATTGAACTTCACGATACCACATGCAATTATTTTTGCCAGAACCTATTAAAGACAGTGGAAACTAATAACACGTAAAAATTAAATGTTCCGACTTTGGGGGCCAACGCGAGTGCCCCTGTTATTGATATTTCATTAGTTCGTTTAACTTCTCCTCATGTATTAATTAACTTAATTAATTATCTAAAGCTAACGAAAGCAAGCTGAATATTTTTTACACTGTGGCAATTTCGATTTTAATGGATCTCTTCCCCAAGGCTCCCCATGGGAAAATAGTTAGGGTTGAGTTCGCTTTGGATTTTGATCATTTTTATGATTGCAGTCACACGGCGATAATTTGCCCAAGAGGGGAAAAACTTGAAACCTGTTCCGCCATGAAAACGTCGTTGTAAACATTGAAGGTTGACATAAATCGTTAACGGTCTCGACAGTTTTTACCCTTTTAATAAAACCACTGAGTCAAATAAGCTTGACAAGAGCAACTCAGTCTTCTATTATTTTGAGACTAAAAAGCCAGGAGGTTAACTTCGTTCGCGCTCAAAAGAAAAGCCAATTCTAGCCTAAATTATCGCTCAGAAGTAACACAAAGTACGGGTTTACTAATGAAAAATAGTTTTAACGATTTCAAAAGGATTAAGAATTCTTCAACTCTCATTGATTTAAAGAACCTCCATGCGAGTGTTTCAAGGTACCTTGGAATTTATTGAACGTAAAAACCTGAAAAAAAAATTCAAAGCAGCGCTCAAAATCCTGCAGAGTTTTCGAACTTTTAGTTCATTTTTCGCAAAGTTTCCAGATATTCTGATCGTGTCCGGCGAATAGAGTAACTTGACATTATTTAATCAGCTTTTGCGTTGGTGCTTAACATTTAAATATATGTTGGCTATGCGGTTCGCTATGTTGGCTGCAATTTAGCACGTGCATCGCTTTGAGAAAAGTCTGGCTTTCATTATATACAGCCAGGGGCGTAGCTACCTGTACGCAAATACGCAATTGCGTACCTGAAAATAATAATAAAAAATAATAAATAAATATATAAAATAAAAAAATAAATAAAAAATATATTTCAAATATATTTATATTTATATATATTTTTTATTTTTTTTTTCAGTCATTTAACTTAGCCTTTTCTTTTACTTATTTTTGTACCTGAACTATAAAATTGTTTTTCCACATCCAAATGTCGGTTTCTTCAGAGAATCGATGTGATTTCGTCGGTCAGCGGTGGAGTGAATTCTCGTTCGTGTATGAAAAGAGCTCACTCAAAGAAAAAGAAGACAGAAAAATAGGTTAATCTGCATTCAATTAAGACTCTTGCGCACGCGATTTGAAATAAAAGACACGTGAATCGAAAATGACTTTGATATTTTTTTTGGGGGGGGCGGGGGTGAAGAGGTGAGATGGAAAACTGTGCGTACCTACGGAAAAATCCTGGCTACGCCCCTGACAGCCAAGTTTTACTGTATCAAGTCTCTCATGGATACAGGTTCATTAAAACCAGGAAAGTAAGACACCTCTTCTCATTGGTTCCTATGTTCAGTTAGGACGTCATAATGTTATACGGATACTTTTTAAGTCACCGTTCCATCGCTGCGCACTTGTTCATACATGTGAATTTAAGGTGGCTGAACACAGTTTTGCGGGCGGTTAGCGGGTAGGCGTATTTCAAATCAGACAAACAAACGTGGCGGCGAAAAAAGAAGACGATCTCTCAAAATCTACTCATTAAAATTTTGTGATATTTGGCAGGATTTTTACTTTTATTGTATTTTAAATAATGAGAACTTTAAAATGGAAGTTTTTGCAAATGAAACGTCCTTTATAAAAGAATTGGAAATTTAATACGCCTGTATATATTTCATGAAGCATTCATCCACCTGTGTTACAAACGTGTTTCAACAAAACTAATTAACTCAGTTTGTGTTTGTTATTTCTCCTAGTTGGCTTTCTAATGACTTGAATTTATGGGACACGGAATCCTCATCATATTTTTCAACTTGCATTTATTTTCTTTCTACCTTCACAGCACGTAGGTAAAAACGCTCTTGCATATCAATTTAATTTATGAGGTATTCCAAATATAGTTAGGTTCTGTTCAAAGATTAAAACTAATATTAAAACTTTGTCTGCTAATACCCAATAACAGTTAACCATTGACTTCTCCTGTCACAAGGTAAATTAAAAATATGCTTTATCATGTCAAGTCGCTAAGTTTCCTATGCGATAAAATGGTTAAGAACACGATAAGAACACATACTTTTAATAGTTAACGAAATATTTTCAGCTGTATTTGATATTTAGCAATTATTGAATAGAGACTATAGAAAATACCGGTGACAAAGAAGCATTTAATAACTAATCAAACTACAGGAACTCGCCACCTGGAGAGAAAAAAATCGAACTCCACGATATCATTATTTTTGCCAGAACCTAAGACAGGAGAAACTAATAACACGTGAAAATTAATTAAAATGTTCCGACTTTGGGAGCCAACGCAGCTCCTCCTGTTATTAATATTTCATTAGTCTGTTTAACTTCTCCTTCTGTATTAATTAACTTTAAAGTCTTTTTAACTATCAAGGCAATCTAAAGTTAAAGGAAGCAAGCTGAATATATTTTACACTGAGGCAATTTCGATTTCAATGGATCTCTTCCCCAAGGCTCCCCATGGGAACATAGTTTCGGTTGAGCTCGCTTTGGGTTTTGATCATTTTTTATGATTGCAGTCACACGGCGATAATTTGCCCAATGGGGGAAAAACTAAAAAGACCTGTTCCGCCATGAAAACATCTTTGTAAACATTGGAGGTTGACAGAAATCGTTAACGGTCTCGACAGTTTTTACCCTTTTAATAAAACCGCCGAGTCAATTAAGCTTGACAAGAGCAACTCCGTCCTTAATTATTTTAAGACTAAAAAGCCAGGCGCCAGTTGTTCGAAAGGCGGATAGCGTTGTCCATTGGATAAATAACTATCCACTGGATAGCGCAATTGGTTTCGTAATACTTATCCTATGGATAGTGATTTATCCGGTGGATAGCGCTATCTGTCTTTTGAACAACCGGGGCCTGGACGTCAACTTCGTTCGGGCTCAAAAGAAAAGCCAATTCTAGCCAAAATTATCGCTCAGAAGTCGAAAAAAGTACGGGTTTACTAATTTAAAAAATTCAATAGTTTCAACGATTTCATAAGGATTAAGAATTCTTCAACACTCATTGATTTAAAGAAACTCCTTGCGAGTGTTTCAAGGTGCCTTTGAATTTATTGAACGTAAAAACCTGAAAAAAAAATTCACAGCAGCGCTCAAAATCCTGCGCGCAGAGTTTTCGAACTTTTAGTTCATTTTTCGCAAAGTTCCTAGATATTCTGATCGTGTCCGGCGAATAGAGTAACTTGACATTATTTAATCAGATGTTGGCTATGCGGTTCGCTATGTTGGCTGCAATTTAGCAAGTGCATCGCTTTGAGAAAGGTCTGGCTTTCATTACAAACAGCCAAGTTTTTCTGTATCAAGTCTCTCATGGATACAGGTTCATTAAAACCAGGAAAGTAAGACCTCTTCTCGTTGGCTCCTATGTTCTGTTAGGACGTCATAATGTTATACGGATACTTTTGAAGTCACCGTTCCATCGCTGCGCACTTGTTCATACATGTGAATTTAAGGTGGCTGAACACAGTCTTGCGCGCGGTTAGCGGTAGCGCGTGTTTCAAATTAGACAAACAAACATGGCGGCGAAAAAAGAAGACGATCTCTCAAAATCTACTCATTAAAATTTTGTGATATTTGGCAGGATTATTACTTTTATCGTATTTTAAATAGTGAAAACTTTAAAATGGAAGCTGAACAGACTAATTTTGTGACACATTTAATAATTACAGTACAATTATATTATTGATTATCTAAAAACCCGTCTGTTAAAGTTTGGTCAAAGAAGTTTCAAATGGTAATGATTAATTATAGTAAGCTGTGTGCAAGTTTATAGGAAAAATGAGCGAATTTTATGTAGACTGAGCAAAAGTGAAATTTTAAGGTTGTGTTCAATCACTCATGCTGCCATGGAAACTACGAAAACGGCAAATTTTACCTGTCAGTCAAAATCTTTCACCAGTACATTTTTCACTTGCCAAGTTTCAGCTTGTGAGCTGCAACCCTTCGATTCTCTTGCCATGATTCGGCAAATGACCTATACTCACAAACTGCCAAAACTGTGTTCAGCCACCAACGATATGACTATATAGTATTTTTTTAAGCGTGACCTATTGTTCCCAAGCCACCACTGGGTGGTAGAGTTGTCAGAAGACGAACACCTACGAAAAGGATTAAAT